GTTGATGTAACTTCCGAAAGAGTTCTATCACTATAGCATTAGTACTCATTAATAGGTCTGAACTAAGATTCAATGCCCATTGTCCAAGATTGGTCAGTGTCAGAGACCCAAGGCATGGTTGGTTCAACATTCAAGCCAAAGGTCCTCTGATCTTTTTCTATCTTCCTTTCTTACTCTCTCTACAGTCAAGATAAACTCAAGAATCACTCTTCCCCTAACTTTCATGATTCTTCCATCTGGGGTTGTTGCTTCATCAGAGAAGTTTTATGCAGTACTACAGATGCCCTTGTATCCTTTTAATTTTTGCAGTCTGTCAGAAATAATCATTCAGATTTATATAAAAATCAATGTGATGTCCAGTGAACTTGGCCTAATATACATGAGCAGGGAACAGTTATTATGGGAATTTATTGATCTCATCTTATTTTTGTTGCATTATAAAGCATATTCATTTATTCAATGTAGACAAATTCTCTTTCCTTCTAAAAATTGCCTTTATGAAAATATTAACTGATACAGAATCACAGGAAAAAAAAGATCATCATGATACTTAGAAGAGTTTTCTTCCTTGCTCACAATGAAAAATGGCAACTCATCTAAGAAAAAACAAGCTCTCTACAAGTTTAAGTTCCTAGTCAACCCTTGAGATACTATTGTAATCCCAGTAAAATGAATTTGCTTATTATGCCTCTTTTCAAGAAGATCCTCCCTTTTCTTCCTCCGCAATGTAATTGTTTTGCTCATCACTGTTCGTATTTATGCATTAAGAGAGATTTTTCATACATTCTTGGAGAAGAACCCACTGGTCTTGGCTTTTCTGGTTGTAGCTTCCCAACTTTTCTCATGAATAAATGGTTTTTAGTACTTGCAGGGAAAGGTTGGCCTTATCCCCTATCACCAATGCTGTCTCCCATTGAGCATTTTGGTTCTTTCAACTTTTGCCATTGAAAAATTCCCAGTGTTATTGATCCAGCCAATGAATTCCAAAGAGATTCTATAACTCTTGATATTCTAGTCCTTCTAACTGTGGGGAAAAAAAAAAAAAAAAAAAACAAAAAAAAACTAAGGGTAGTATGAGAAAACACTGTGGAAAGTACTCAAAGGTCTGAAAAATATATGCTCTTAGACAAAGAAAGAGATACAAGGCTTATTCCTAGGAATGAGTACCAGAGCTCACCCTCTAAAGGATAGCTGGTTAACCGGGAATAAAACAGAAGAAGAATAGAGGAAATATTCTTGTGCTCCAGCAAAAGGGATGATTTTGGAAGAAGGCAAGAAAGAGTAAGGTTTTGCTAGTTTTACTTCAGCCCCCAAATATGTTAACACACAGCGGAGAAGCATACAATGCTAACCAGTGTGATTATATCCTACAGCTGCCCCATCTGCCCAAGGAAATGAGCCACTTGTGGGAATGCTCATATCTAAAATATGTATTTATGTCTTCCAACAACCGTTTCTTCTCATTTCACTTTTTTTTAAAAAATGTTTATTTATTTATTTTGAGAGAGACAGAGCACAAGCAGGGGAGGGGTAGAGATAAAAGGGAGAAAGAGAATCCTAAGCAGGCTCCGTGCTGCCAGCACAGAGCCCAACACGGGGCTTGAACTCACAAACTGCGAGATCATGACCTGAGCCGAAATCAAGAGCTTAACAGACTAAATCACCCAGGCGACCCTCATTTCACTTCTTTTTTCTAGCCTGCCCCGGCTTTTGCTCAACAGATAGGATTCACCATTTCATTTCCAGTTCTATGCATGTCATCTGCGACCAAAGCCACCTGAATGTACCATACAGACCAGACCCAAGGAAATGCTGTCTTTCCATGTCCAGTCTGCTCTGACTGGTGGCTAACATGGGCTCCAGTTTCTCACTTAAGATATTTTGGATATTTTTCCCCTTGGATTTTGCCTATTTTAAAAGTTAATCCCAGATGGTCCACAGTTACCTTTTTTTTTTTTCCCCCCTGCTCTCCATCTATGTCCTTCTTCTGTTTCTCTGTTAGCTGACTTTAATTACTATCAAACACCTCATTTTTCAGTCTGGCTTTACTTTCATTAGGTGTCATTGACTCAGGGCCAAGCAATTGTGCCAGATCCTTGGTAAACATTTTTTTTCTATAAATTCTGGCTTTTTTTTTTTTTTGCCTTTGGAAGTTTGTTTTGTATTATTTATTAGATTTTATTTGTTTAAGAGCAGTTGTAGGTTTTCAGAAAAATTGCAGACTACACAGAATCCCCATACATTCCTTTCCTCCAACCATCCCTCAAATACAGTTTTACCAATTAACTAATGTCTTTCATTAGTGCAGAAGGTACATGTTTTATAATGAATGTACTCATGTTGATACATGATGAACTAAAATCTATCATTTACATTAAGTTTCATGTTTTGTATTGTTCAGTTCTACGAGTTTTGACAAGTCTGGAATGATATGTACCCACCATTACAGTATCAGAGAGAATAGTCTTGCTGCCTTAAAAGTGCTGTATGTTCCAACTCTTCATCCCTACTCCCTCTCTCTGAACCCCTAGCAAACACTGATGTTTTATTATCTCTGTGGTTTTGACTTTTCTAGAACATCCTGTTGTTGGAAACATACAGTAGGGGTCTTTTACAAACCAACTTCTTTCACTTAGCAATATGGATTTAGGTTTCTTCCATGAATTTTGTAATTTGGTAGCTCCTTTTATTTTTTTTTAAGTTGAATTATTTTGAGACAGAGAGAGAAGGAGAGAGTGAGTGGGGTAGGGGCTGAGAGAGAGGGGAGAGAGGATCCCAAGCAGGCTCTGCACTGTCAGCACAGAGCCAGATTTGGGGCTCGAGCTCACCAACTGTGAGACCGTGACTTAAGCCAAAACCAAGAGTCAGACCTTAACTCACTGAGCCACCCAGGTACCCCTAGCTCCTTTCTTTAATCCCTACCATCTTGTATCTTTTCTCTGCTCCATTTTTTTTTTTTTTCAATTTCATTTGGCCATTCTCACCTCTTAGATCCCCTAATGTGTGATCCCTTAGACCTCTCCTCCTAATATTTCTGTCACTGTATTCATGTTTTTGGTCTTTTCCTATGGATTCTACAAGAATGTCATGGCCTCTAGTTTAAGTTGTTTTTTTTTTTTTTCAATTTACCAATAATTTCCTCCATTGCAGATTTTCATCAGCAGTAATGCTTTTCATTTCCATGAATTATTTCAGGATTCCAATGATTCCTATCTATTGGAATGACTTTATATTACAAGTAACTGTCACCTCTCCTCCTGACTGCTTAAATGCATTCCTAGACTCCCTACCCCATAATCTCCCACCTTCTGCAACCTAGTCTCCAGAGTTTCTAGAATGATATTCTAAACACACAAGTGCTCATGTCATTTTCTTACTTATAGTTCTATAGTTGCTTCCACTAGTCTTAAGGTAAAATTTAAATTCCTCAGTATGGCTTCCTAGACTGGAGATAACCTAGCCCTTGCTTCCCTGTCCAGCCTAATCTTTTACAGGTTTGCTTTCACACTCTCCTAGCCCCTTGGTTCTTTGATCATATATATTTTTTTCTTCTTTTTAAAGCTTCTCATTTGATTTTTCTTCTATGTGCTTCATATTTTCCCCAGGTCTTGGCCTGGCTAATTATTGTCTTGCTTTAAATGTCACTTGCTCAGGGAAGCCTTCCTTGATTGCACAGATTTGATGAGCGGCCCCCTGTTATCGGTGTGACATGTGGTACAGTTCATCTCCGTAGCACTGTGGATACTCATAATTAATTTTAAGTAAGTGGGCTTAGGCGAGTGGCTACCATCTGAATGCAAACTTCGTTAAGGTCAAGAAGGGTGTCTTCTTTGTTCATAATGGGGTACTCAGAGCGTAGCCTGGGGCAGCTAAGCAATAAATACTTGCAGAAGGAATGATTTTCCTCACCTCTGCATGGGGCTATTGTGGTTTCACAGATGCAATACCTCAAAAATCTTATTAAAAATACAAATTAAACATTTGAAAATGTCATTTTCTTCTTTGCACTACTCTGTTTCAGAGGATATATTTGCTCTGCTTTCTTTGGAACATATTGTATTATCCTTTTCAAGATATGCTATTTTTTTCTATTTACTATGTAAGTATTAATCTCATTGATAAAGATGAATATGTTGAAACAGAAATAAACTTTCTTTGGGATTGGTGAGGATATCTATCTCAAATTACAGTAAATCTATTATTTCCTCTGGCTTTCATGGGGATTGGAAACATTTACTATGCAAATCCAGAGATATGGCGGCCCAGGAAGAGTGAGAAAATGAGAGTGGGACTTAAAAAGTGTGGCTTTGCAATGAACACTTTCTGTTTCATGTTTCCCAAAACCATCAGGAGTCCTGTTTAGGGCCTGCCAGGGCTGCTCTTGTCAGAAGCCAGTCCCTACAGGGTCCCTTTAATGGAGCATGAGGCTTTCTGCTCAGTGTGGCTTTAAGCAAACAGAGCGTTTGCTATAGGCATCTATTGGCTTGAAATAGATCTCCTGATTGTCCTGCAGCACAGGTGGCCTTACCTCTGACCTTACAGGTCGAAGATGTGAATGGGATTGTACCACTGCTTACCATAGTCATTCCTATGTACATTATTCTTAAGCAGACAAGAGGCAATTGCCTTTTCTTTCATCTCCCCTCATGTTCTCTAGCCTTAGCTGCAATATCTCATCGTTTCCAACATGGAACCCATGTTTCTTTTATTATGCTTGTTTCTTCGGGATTCAGATGTTTTCACGGAAGTTTTAGAGACAAATAAAACTTCTCCAGCTTCTCCAGCTGTCACACACATTGGAAATATGACTTACTTGTGGGCTCCTAGGAAATGATGACAGGCAGAGGTGCATTGCCATTGTGCGGGCATTAGCAATGAAGGTCTAAGGGCAAGCTCACGGACAGTGGTAGTTCATCAGCTTAGCTTTGGAGGCGATCGATCCTCTACTTTAGGAGGTCAGTGGTCTCCCCTATCTTGATTTCACTTCCCTTTCTCCCCAGACAGGTGCTGTGGTGTTTTCTGTCTGGGGCATCTTCATTCTGCCATGAACTTGGCTGGATAACTGGCACTCTTCATCCTCTGTCAATACAAGTTAATGAGTTTCATACTTGACTGCAGCCTGTTAGAAATGGAGCAGTGGTGGGGACTTCTTCCCAGTGACAGGAAGAAGCACGCACCTTGAGCACCAGAGAAATATTTGTACACTAGTAATTTCCTTCTATGGGTTTAATGCACCTTGTAGGCTATGTTCTCATGTTGTGATGGAAGCACCATTTGATGAATGGACTTAAGTTTTATGGACTCGTTCAACAACAACAACAACAAAAAACACAACATACAATGTGATTATGCACTCCATACTTCAAATGGGGGAAATTTATAACAGAAGATCTTGCTCCTTCCTTCACTTTAAAGGTGTAGGTTCAGAAAGAGAAGTTTGCATTAGACACCTCTATTTCTCTCCCAACAAAATGAGTTTAATGCTTCTGTCTTTAAGGGCATTAGATCTAATACTTTAATTTGATTTAATTTAAGCAGCTTTACAGTCTTATATGAGCCAAACCAATTTGCTTTTGGATTCATCAACCCTTCTAATGAAATTCATAATTGTCTGTGAGAAAATGGAATGTTGCCTATTTCAGAAAAGCCAAAGGAAATATTAATTTTCTTTTGAGCAAATAATGCTTTTCCAAAATCAGTCTGTAAGTAAGTCTAGACTTGACTGAAATAATTCCACCTTTCATTTTTTTGAAACTATTTTTTTTTTCCCGATGGTAAAAGTTCACTAGATTTTGGTTAAATAACTTTATCTTTGAGAATAAATTCTGTGAAACGGTTTTCTGGAAAAAGAAGCACTGAATATGACATTAATTATTGCATTTGTTCACTTTTTTAAAGGAAAAAAAGAAACAACTATTAAGTAATACTTAATTTTAAAAATATTTTATTTTTGAGACCGAGAGAGAGAGGAACAGCATGAGAGAAACAGTCCAGGGGAGGGGCGGAGAAAGACAGAGACACAGAATCTGAAACAGGCTCCAGGCTCCAAGCTGTCAGCACAGAGCCCGACACAGGGCTTGAACTAGGTAATGGTGAGATCCTAACCTGAGCCAAAGTCAAGCATTTAACCAATGGAGCCACCCAGGCGCCCCTATTAAGTAATACTTAAGGTAAGTATTTTAATAGCTCCACTGATTATTTAACACTTGACAGTGAACTTATGAAATGTTAAAAGAATGGATATCCTATTTTTGTATTCTCCAGTGAAGCTTAAGAGTTGAGGAATTCATGGATTGTCTTTTTTCTCTTTTCATTTTGCTTTGCCTTTATGTCATTGACACTTGGACCATCTAAGGCCATAGGAGGGGGACTTCTTTTCTGGTCAAAACGACTGTGAAGTTTTCTTTATCCCTGAGTATATGGATTTGGAGAATTCTTGCTAGGAAAACATAGTCCAGCAAAACTTACACCACTGCCTTCCCCACCTAGGAATTATTTATTTGTTCCTGGGTGTCAAGCATTAGTCTAGATATTTACCATTTATCAACTGATACAATACTCGTAACAACCTGTGAGCTGGATACTATTTTTATCTTCATATAAAAGATGAGGGAGCTGAAGAACAGAGAGGTTAAGTGGCTAACTCAGACTCACATACCTACTAAGTTGCAGAACAGAAATTAAAATCCAGGGGTGCCTGGGTGGCGCAGTCGGTTAAGCGTCCGACTTCAGCCAGGTCACGATCTCGCGGTTCGTGAGTTCGAGCACCGCGTCAGGCTCTGGGCTGATGGCTCAGAGCCTGGAGCCTGTTTCCGATTCTGTGTCTCCCTCTCTCTCTGCCCCTCCCCCGTTCATGCTCTGTCTCTCTCTGTCCCAAAAATAAATAAACGTTGAAAAAAAAAATTTTTTTTTAAAAATCCAGACAGTAGGGCTTTTAGAATATAACAAAGCGTGGAACATTCCATAGTGTTTATATAATATCATGAGGGTTCTTTTTTTTCCCCCACATTTTATACTTTAAAACATCTTTTTCCTTCTTTCTTTCTTTCTTTCTTTCTCTCTCTCTCTCTCTTTCTTTCTTTCTTTCTTTCTTTCTTTCTTTCTTTCTTTCTTTCTTTCTTTCTTTCTTTCTTTCTTCCAGAGAATATAGCAGAAGATCCCCCTTCAGTGATGCAAATGAGAAATTAAACAGATCAAACAGATCAAGTGGTGTTATCCCTGTCAGTCACCTTGGGTCAATCATATGGGGACAAACTAAGTCTCGTCCAAAGTAAGTGATCACGGAGACAGTGGGCTTTTGAAATCTTTATTTGATCTTTTAACACAGAGAAGCCCAAAGAGAAAACCTAACCATGTGTTAGAGACTGAATGTTTGCATCCCCCCAAATTCCTATGTTGAAATCCAAATGCCCAATATGATGGTGTTGAGAAGAGAGGCCTCCCAAAGGAGGTGACTAGGTGAGATGAGGTGATGAGAATGAGGTCCTCAAGGTGGGATTGGTAGCCTTGCAAGAGTAAGATGTGAGATTAGACTCCCTCCCTCTGCCATGTGAGGTCACGGTGAGAAGGAGGTCATCTGCAAGCCAGAAAAAGAGCCCATGCTATGCTACCACCCTCATCTCAGACTTCTCCCCTCCAGAACTGTGAGAAATAAATGGCTACTGAGTAAGCTACACAGTCTATGATATTTTGTTGTTGGAACCAAAGCTGGCTAAAATACGACCAGATGGTTGAGAAATCCATGTGAGTAGTACCTAGATTCGTACTTAATATTCTCCTAACTATGAAAGAATATTGATTAGAAAGAAAAAAAAGACTGATTGATGTCTGTTCTCTAGAATTCTTTCACCCCATGATTTATAAGATGGAACTTCTTCTTTGTGGAGAAGTTTTCACGACTATTTTCCTGATCTTTGGTCCAAAGCTCTCCTGATATACCATAATATCATCAAGGCAGAAATTTTATTCTCACCGTAATTCCTTTTCTTTCCCAAATAAGGCAAAGAAATTCTCAACTCTACCCCATGAAGAACCCGCCTCAGGATTTTCCTCCAGCCTAGGAATCCCTTGTCTCATGGCTCTTTTCTTGGTATGGAAGAAAGAGTGTCTAAGTGACATTGAACCCAGGTCACATACATAGTTGGCCCAAACTTTACTCTTAATCAATTGTCTTAGCCATTTTATGGTTTTTATCTAATTGTTTATTCGTGGGCTGAGCTAATACCTCGCAGCCAAGCAAATTTTTATGGCTGTGTATGTAATTTCTGAACAAATAGGGTGTATAATGGAAGTGAAAGTGCTGACATTGTGCTTTCTGTAATGGCCTGAGTAGACTCAGGATTACAAAGTACACTTTTATTGCAATCCTTCCACCGGGCCATTTATATGAAGCATGGATTGGAATATAATTTAGAACTGTGATGTGGTACTTGAACCCAGTAGCTAGAATATGAAAACCATCAAACAAATAAACAGACAAATGTAAATGATCCAGAAACAGAAAACAGCGGGCTCACCAAGGCCTCTAATAATTTAAACATGGCCATCTGAGTCTTGTAGAGTGAGTGTCTAAATCAGGCTTTTTGAATAAAGAAAAATATTTACCCTTAGTTCAAATCTAAATCACCTTTGACTTAAAATAGTAAGATAGTTGAAACTAAGGTGCTTTTTCCCTAAATCAAAGAAAAAAAAACTCATTTATTTTTTTTGTTTTTAAATAAAGGTGTGTGGGGGGGATACTTCTCAGGAAACTAAATTTAGGAAATAATATTGTGGATCTTATCCATCCTTTCTAAAGATTAATCTGAATATTTCCTCCCACAAACTAGAAAGTAAAATAAGCAAGAGAAAAGGGAAATGAAGGCCATTTCTCGTTTTCATAGTATTTACTAAATATCATTAAAGTAGGTGGGTGGTAAGGAGGGTTAATTCTGAAATATCATGGTGATAAATTCAGCAAACATCACCATGGGAGATTGTTCCAGTGGGAAAAAGAGGAGGTGAGTTAATAATTGAATGTATTTCTCTTCTCTAAAAGCTGTTTTGTCATGGTCTTTTTCTTCTTTTCTTTGCTGATCCCACCCCCTACCCTGACTTCATTGGTAACAAAAGTGAGACTTAGGTGGGGAGCTACAGAAATGTTTACTTACTGAACCAGAGAAAACGGATGAGTGCAAGAAAGAGGACAATGAGCTGCCTTGGGGAAATGTCATTTTCAAAGAAGTTGATGTACTCATTCAGTATTTGGGGGACACTGGATCGTGCCAGAATTTTGGAATTGCGTTCTAAGTAGCACATATTTTGGGCTGTTTTTCTTTCTTGTTGAGTTCTTTTTAGGCTTCAAGTTTCTTCTTTCCTGTCCTATAAGCTCTCCAGTGTCTTTTGTTTTTCTGCTTTGGGGTTATTTGAAATCTCTCACTCTATAGGTCTATACATCTCCCTGCTGTATCCTTCATGATTTTCCTTCGCTACTCGACCAGAGAAATACTGGTGTGTGTGCGTGTATGTATGTGCATATATACATATACATATATATGCACGTATACATATACATATATATGTATATATGTACATACATATTCATACACGTGTACAATGTATGTAAGCAATGTTTGTGTATATATGTGTATATGTGTGTGTGCTTACGTATGTAAGCAATGCATGTGTGTGTGTATTTCTGTGTGTGTATATATATATATACACACACACACATATGTGTGTGTGTGTGTGTGTGTGTGTGTGTGTGTATACACACACACGCACACATTGCTTACCCAGGTGCTTCGCTATGTGGCAAAATATTTCAGCCAAGAACACTGCACATTCCAGGTCGATTCTACATCCCTCACCAGCTAGCTCACCAACTTGCTTGAGCAAGCTACTAAACCTTGATAAACTTTTGGGTACTCTGCAAAAATCTGGTAAAACCTACTTGATGATACGAGATGACATCGTTAAAGCCCCCAGGAAGAATACGTTGCACATTTGCAGATACTTGATAAATATGGTATCTATGGGACTCAATGATTTGAATGTCACAGAATCATAAATGCTAAAGTAGGAAAGTAATTAGATAATTGAGTATATCCTCCTTATTTACAGATGACAAAGCTGAGGTTCAGAGAAGTCAAGTGTCTTACTTAAGGTCATCAAATAATTGGAACTGGGGTTAGAATCTAGGGCTTAGGCACGATTTAATGACATCTGTTCACGTTATTTCATACACCCCAAAGCCTTGCACCATTCTGAATTTTGCTGGCTTCTTACTGTGCCCATCCACCCAGACCCTAGTTTAAGACAAATCTCCCTTTTCCTCTCTCACGTGTATCTCTTTTGTGTGGGGGGGAAAGAAAATTGTCTTATTATCTCATAATTGTGGCCTATGAAAGTAACTGGCCTGTTGCTGACTGAATACCTTCTTCTCCTTTCTCGGCCATTCCTACTGATAGGTACTTCCTTAGCCTCTGCGTTAGATCTGCCAGATTCGATTCTCTTTCTGCGATGCTAATTTCCCCTCAGACAACCAGTTCCTAATTCTGCCTCCTCTGATATCTTCGAACACTGGATTCAGTTGAAATGACCTTCCTTCTCTAGAATGTTCAATTTTCGAAATGTGTCCTAGTCAAGGATGTAAAACGCACCCTGCATTTGGTGGCAACGTTACAATTTACTTCCACAGCAGCTCAGAATGATTGAACAACACGTTACAAATGCCCTTTTCCCTCACAGGAAGATACCGTGAGGATTCCACCTTTTCATACCCCACTGAAAAACAGGGGGAAAAAGGTCCACCTTCTCCAAAAAAGAAGAAAACACTTGGGCTGAAACACAGCTAACGTTCCTCGGTTTCGGG